TGTGTGTGTGTGTGTGTGTGTGTGTACACACGCTCATGAGTTAAGCCACAACAATTGCCTGGAACAATGATGTGTCTCAGTAGAAGTTTATTAAGAGAAAATGACTATGCTATTAAAAGAAATTGTGTCATTCAGTAAAGCGTTGATTCAAAGCCTTGGGACAAACAGTCTATCAGAGAATGCAGCCCCCTCCCCCCACCCCCAGCCTCTTCTCAGAGGAAAATAAAATCTGTTTTCTGCCTCACAGCACCACCCAGGGCCAAATCTAGACAAACAGGACTGGGCATGGACAGACAGGCACAGGCAAGCTGCAGCAGGAACCGCCCGCCATCTGTTTAAATGAAAAGCCTAAGCCTGTAGTGGCCCATGGCTTTGGCTACGGGAGACTATCTCAAACACACATAAACTAAGAACCAGCCACAAGGACTACAGCAGAAGATGTACTGTGGTGAATACATGTGATACTAGCCTTGGTGTGGCTGTGCGTCTGTTCAAAGCTGCACACGGCATCTACTGTATAGGTAAGAATACCACCGCACACAGTATACCTCTGCCTATAGGTAAAGGGGTGGAGCGAAGACTGGGCCCTTGGGGTAGGGGTGAGCGCTTCCTTTAGAGAGCAGGAAGCCAATCAGCTGTGTCTCTTACTGAACCACATGAAGTTAATTGCTTATTTCGAATAATTAAGACAACAAAGAAGGGAATGGAGATGGCTTAGCAGTTAAGAGTGCTTTTGCAGAGGCCATGAGTTTGGTTCCCATCACCCACGTTAGGCAGCTCACAACTGCCTGTAATTCCAGCTCTGTGGGAATCCAATGTCTCTAGCGGCTGTGCTCTGTGTGTGTGTGTGTGTGTGTGTGTGTGTGTGTGTGTGTGAGAGAGAGAGAGAGCGAGAGAGAGAGAGAGAGAGAGAGAGAGAGAGAGAGAGAATGAGAACTCTGCTGAGCCACAGGGCAGGGCTTCCATGAGGGAAGCCAGGAAAAACACTGCATACATACCAAGGGGACCTGAGAGGACATAGAGACCCTTGAGCTGACAGGCTGACAAGAGTGAGCCTCCCACCCTTCTGTATAAGTAGAGCCACAACAGACAGACACACTTCTCTCTGCCTCTGGCTGTGCATGTCCAACTTGGTTCCTTCCTATCCCTGAGCAGCAGCTTCCCCTAGGTGGACATATTACAGCTGGTTCATTGCTTATTGCTCATGGTGAGCATGGGAGCCATTTTTAGTTTGGTCTTCGACTAGTGAGCTGCTGTGAGAATTGGTGTTTGTGACTTTGTGTGGACACATGCTTTGTTGTTAGTTACTGCCAGTAGGACAGCAAATGCTTTAAATATTATGCTTCAGTTTTAAGACGGCCCCACTTGCCCATGTATGACACTTTCAAAGAGAAGGTGTCCGAGCTGTCTGGGTTTGTGGCCTCATTGTGCTAGTCTATCGGTGTTGGGGATCAAACCCAGGGCTCTAATATGAGGTAAGAGATCTGAGCCCCACCCCTAGCCATTTTTTTTTTTTAATACAGACTGTTCCACAGACGTTTGTTGTTATCCTTGCACAGGAGCCATGCGAATCTTCTCTGTGTTGTTCTGATTTTAGTATATGTGCTGCCAAAGAAAGCGCCGCTTTTTCTGAGAGTAGCTTGCTATGTAACCAAAGCTGGCCTCAAATTCTCCTACACTAACGTGGGATTTCTCCTTGGCTCTCTGTCTGTCTGTCTATGATAAAGTCTCCAGAACACAGGATAGCCTTGAATTCACTATAGCTGAGGATGACCTTGAATTTCTGATACTCCTGCCTCTGCCTCCCGAGAGCTAGGGTTATAGGTGTGTCGTCCATGGCCAGTTTATGTGACGCTGGGGAATCAAAGCCAGGCCTTTGTTCATAGCAGGCAAGTACTCTACCAACTGAGCCACACCCCCAGCTTCATTGTGGTTTTAAATAGCTTTTCTCCAGTGGCCGACGATGCTGGTTGGTGCTTCATGGCTCAGTTAACCCTCCATTTATCTTCTGTGGTACCATGTTTGTCTGAGTTTGGGGCCCAGTTCTGGTTGCATGGTTTCCTACTGAGCTGTTAAAGTTCCTTATATATTCTGGGCACAAATCCTTTGGCAGACAAGTCTTGAGGGCATTTGCTCTTAGCCTGTAGCTTCCCTTTAGATTTATTCTTAGTAACTTCTGAGGCTTGTGTTTGTTTTCATGTCAATAAAAAACTCACGGAGGGTGAATCTAGGTTCACAGTTGTCACGAGCCCAGCTGACTGTGGGTTTCTCAGAATCTCCAATAGAACAAAGCTGAGATGATGTAGATGGTATGTTGTCACTACCAGCTGGTGTCACTGTGCCCCCATACTGATAGGGCCAGGCAGGTAAAGAGATGGAAAACTTACCAGCAGGCTGGTATCAGGCCAGACTGGCTCTCTTCTGGAAGGGATGCTGGATTGGGGAGCCAGCACTAACCTGGGAGAATATAGCACCCAGGAGGTCTCAGACAGGCCGTCCATGCTGGCTGCTGTGCAGAACCAGGACTCCATAGGCCATGCAGACTCTCCCCTGCCCCGGCTCTTGAATGTGAGCAAAGGCTTCCTGTTGGCAGTGCTTCAGTGGCTAGAACAGTCTTTGCCTAAGGGGATGTCAGCCTTAGCCCCGAGGTTGGGAGGAAACTGCTCCACCTGAGGGAGAGATGCTGAGGGGGCTGTGTCCACTGGTGAGTAGTCCACCCTTCACCAAGTTCTCTGCCTGCCTTCAGGGCCCACACCTTGGACTGGGCTTCAATCATTACTCCTTGTTCTCTAGGCAGCTGGAGCCCTCTTGCTATGAAGGGCTTATTACAAAGGTAGCTTGGGTAAGGCGTGGGGTGCACTGCCCCCTCTCAAGATCCAGGAGGACCAAAGGGTTGAGCTGTGGACTTCCTCAGGATTAGAAAAAACTTATAAGACTAGAAGATGGTGGATGTCAGATCCTCTAGAACTGCAGTTATGGATGTATGTAAGCTGCCATATGGGTGCTGGGAACTACACCTATGTCTGCTATAAGAACGTCAAATGCCATCTCTCCAGCCTTGACACTGTCCTTTTTTTTGGGGGGGGTGTTCAAAGACAGGGCTTCTCTGTGTAGCCCTGGTTGTCCTGGAACTCACTCTGTAGACTAAGCTGGCCTTTATCTCCCAAGTGTTGGGATTAAAGGCATGGACCACCATCAGCCAGCTTGACATTGTTCTTTCCTGAGGTCCCTGAACACCTAACTGGCAGGAGCAGGTCCCCCAGATGGCTGGTGCCATCTCAGCTCCCCCATTTTCCTCCCATTGGAGCTGGAGCATCTCTGCTCACTGTGTCTGGCTGAGACTTAACAGTGGGACCCTGCAAGCAGCCGGTGACTCCTCAGGAACAAGACAGCAGCATAGGGGACTTGGCCCACCTTCTCCCTGGCCCCTTGGTGGCCTCTGGTTGCACACACAGACTCTTTCTAGAATTGGCATGTATGAAAAATAATTTAATTTAAAAACAGAAAACTATGCAGGAGTATAAAGAAAACCAATTATATCTAGATACAAAAATCACTACATGTAGTGCTGTCCCTAGTCTACCACTGTACATCGTCCAGTCCTGGAGGGAGGTGAAGAAGAAAAAGAAGAAGCCAAGTAGACTAGGCTGTCCAGGACCTCACTCTGTAGCCCAGGGTGTGCTGGGATTAAAGGCGTGAGTCACTATGCCCAGATGTATACATAATGCATATGAGTATGATGAAGATATAGCTCACTGGTAGGCTGCCTAGCACATAAGAGGCCCTAACACTGCAAGCTAAATGTGATGGTGCCTGTAATGCTAACATTAGGGGAGTAGAAGAAGTCTTCAAAATTCAAGATCGTCTTTGGCCACATAGTGAGTTTGGGGCTAGCCTAGGTTACATGAGATCCTGTTTCAAAAATAAAACAAAACTCTGCAAGTGGTGCCCCCATCCATTTAAGTCCCAATTCTGAGACTCTGAGAACTCCCCTGTATTCAACCTCTCCTGGCAAATGGTGGGTGGTTCTCCCTCTACCTTGTCAGCTCTGTGAGGGTTGAGAGGGGTAGTCAGTGTTTTGGGTCCTAGTCTCTTATTCCACAGAGAGTTGGGGGGATGGCATGTGTGCCATCACAATGACCATGGTGAGTACCAAAGATATATGTCTTCTGTTCTGCATGAATTCCTTTCTTTGAGAAGCAAACCTGGGCACTTCTCCCACCACCCACCTGAAGAGGAATCTTCAGATGTTTCAAGGCCACGTGAGCCATGTCACCACTGAAGAACTGCAGGAAGATACCTAAGGACCAGCCTTTGCTGTGTGTTATGTTGGGGCCCTGTTGAAAATGACTGTGGATCTCAGTCCCACCCACAGCTGAGAGTGTTTTCATCTTGGGAGTAGAAGCAGGTTTTGTATCAAGGGAAATGCATGGGCTAGAGATGGAGGGGGAGTGGAAAGTGGGAGGAGAAAGAGGCCCAAGTCTTCCTCTGGTTCTGAGTGTCTCATCTGTCCCTCATACTGGGGAAAAGTCGAAGGTGGCCTTAATCAATCCAACCTGGATCCCTGATCCCCATACAGTGCCCAGCACACTTGGGTACTGGAAAAAAATAACAAAGGAGAGCAGTCAAGAATAGTTGAAGTGAAAATCTGTGCTGGGTGGTCCTATAATTCCAGCACTTCAGAAACTGAGGCAAGGATTTTAAGTTTGAGACCAGCCTGAATTACCCAGTCTCAAAAAAGTGTATTTCACTTAATCTTAGCTCCCTTCATCACATATGTTTACAGAGGCTGATGGTATAGCTTAGTGGGTTCAATGCCAAATAAAAAACAAAGCAGAATGTATTTGCCAGAATGGACACTTATAACTTAAAAATAAGTGGGAGGTGGTGGTGATGGAGAGATGGCGGGTTAAGTGCTTTTCTAGAGAACCCACATCAGGCTCCTCACAACTGCCTGTGATCTCAGCTCTAGGGGATTCAATGCTCTCCCTGGCTTTCTCAGGTAGCTGAACACAGAAAGACACACAAGTAAAAAGAAATTTTTAAAAAATAGATAATCTCACTGGGCAGTGGTGGCACACACCTTTTGTCCCACTGCTTGGGAGATAGAGGCAGGCAGATCTCTGTGAGTTAGAGGACAGCTAGGGCTGTTATACAGGGAAACCCTGCCTTGAAAAACAAAAACAAACAAAGAGCTTCATGTATGAAAAGTCCAAGCAAAGCACTGCCCTACTCTCTTGCTAGTACTGTGATAATGAGATGTGTGAATGCATGCGTCATTGTGTGTCCTGCGTTTTTCCTAGGTACCCTGCAGTTCCAAATAAACAATATAAAACAAACAAAAAGTCCAGGGTGCTGGAGGGTCGTTTGTAATAAGTCATTTGCCTGGCATGAATAAAGCTCTGGGTTTGCCTCCTAGCACCTCAAAAAATGATTAAACTAATACCCTTTTTAAATTAATAAAGTCAAACTAATACCTTTCTAGAGTGGTGTCACACACCTGTCATCTCAACACTTGGAAGGTGGAAGCAGAATGGGAGTTCAAGGTCATCTTCTACCAGTTAGTGAGTTAGATGCGAGCAAGACCCATTCCCAAAAGAAAGGAGACCTGGAAAGGAAGGACCGAGGAAGAGGGGAATGGAAGGCCGAGGGAAGAGAAAATTTCCGAAAGGGCCTGCCTCTGTGAAAATGGAGCCATCTGGGCTCCCCTGCTTTGAAGTCCGAGGTCGTCAGCTCGGATGCAGGCTCATACGTTGCCCAGCGCTGTACCAGCCCTGTCTCTGGCCTTGATCGCAGAGGGTTAAGGTAAGGAATCCGCCTCATTCCTGGACAGCTAAGATCCATTGCAGATTTCACTACGCCTGGAGGGTCGCAGGAGGCTGCGCGAATCTTTCAGGCTTTCTGTTCAGATTTTCTCTAGAAGACCGGCCTGAGCAGACACAGATTTTTAAGATTGAAGATCCGCAGTCCTGAGGGAATTGGGATCCTGGAGCGCCCCCTAGTGGAGACAGTTGGGCTTGACCGCGGACCCGGTGGGGACGGGACCAAAACCAACCTGGACCGAGGAGGGTAGAGCAGACTTGTAACAAAGGGCTTCAAAGAGCACCAGCTGCACTTTGCTTTTTATGCCCCAGGAACGACTCACGTCGAAGGCGACGCCCTCCGCGCCACAGTTCCTGACCTGAAGAGAAACCGCGGAGAGCAGCTACTGAGCGATCTGTTCCCAGTGTGCTTCTCGCAGGCGGTGCAGGTGCACCTTATCTAAGACTTAACCAGGCGCTGTTTCTTTCCTGCGATTCAAGAACACACCAGGCCTCAGTTTACATCCTCAGGGGGAGATGATTTTATACTCACACAAAGTCATCAAGCACTGCGATAAATGGCTCGTATGAAGGAAATGGGCATCAAGAACACATCACAGGAGGACAGGGAGGGCTTTCTGGAGGAGGCGACGTTGGAATCGGCAAGGAGGCCTGGTGTGGTAAGTTTGGTAACAAGGTTACACTGCAGCGCTGGTCCATTGGCGGGGGGCTCTGGCCACAGCTCACTGCATGTGTTTGTGAGTGAGTGCAAGAGAGTGGATGCAAGTGTAAGAGGTCAGGACAACTTTTGGTGGGAAGC